AGAGGAGAGCAGAAAATGAACAAATATGGTTGCGATCTTTGGAAAGGATATGGTTGGGCGGGAGGAAGTTCCAGCTGAGGACCTGGTTGGCTAAAGCAAGGTAGCGCTGGAACACCGAGGACATCTGAGCACTGAGGTTCTCTCTCAGGCTGAACTCCTGCAGCACCTCCACCGTCAGCACGAAGATCTGCCGCAGGTCCTCCTCCTGCAGGCCCAGGACAGGAGTGAAAAATTCAGGAAGTGCCGGGCGCATGGGATGGGACGCCAGTCCACCCCAGGGCATACACAGACAGACACGCACACGCACACACTCACACCAGGGCCAGTTCTCCCAGAAGCCAGTGCACCCACCAGTGTGTCTTTGGACTGTGGGGTGAGACCTGGAGCTCGAACACAGGGAGAACACACAAACTCCACTGTAGCTGTAATTAAACCCGGCAACCCAGCTCTGTGAGGCAGCAATGCTAAGCACTGTGCCACCGCGCCGCACTAAGAACTTCTTCTTAGAAGACTTCTTTGAATTTCATTCAGCAGGTGTGTTCAATTCCTTTCCCACTGCACTGATGAACTTCGGCCTCTTTTTCCCTGCGTGATTAATTACTTTAAAAGGAGAGCATTCAGTCCCACCGCAAAACATACATTTGCTCAGTGACCGGACGGGGCACAGCGTTCCACACACACCCGCCCTCCAGTCCCACCGCTCACCCAGAGGGGCACGCCGGGGGTTCTCACCTGGAAAACACGCTTGCAGCTGCCGTGGAACTCCATGCTGAGCCCAATGTTGCTCGTTTTACTGGAGCTGGAAAACTCGCTCAGCAGCGCCGTCAGAATGGAGCAGGCCAGCGTCTGCTGCGGAAACCAAACGCCACCAGTCTGCGGGTCAGACACTGCAAGCAAGAACACTAAACACCAGGGCGACTAAAACCCCGGCTTAAAGTGGCCTCCCCACCTTCCGATTCAAGAGCTGCCACACAGCGACCCCAGAGAGTGGTCTCACGCTGGCAACAGATGAACTGAAATGTATCGAGATTTACATTAGATTCATTTTGAATTACTTTTTCAAGGTATATAACTGCTGTAGTGGTGCAAAAGGTTTTTATGTACTACGTCATACTATCAAGCAACATGTATTAAGTCTGCCGCAGCGACCTGCACCCCACGCAGGGAAGAAGATCGCGAACGTGACGAAGTTTGAGCTGGGGGAGCGCCGCGGAGGGCCGCGCTGCGCGGAAGGTAGGTAGCAGCAGGGCTCCCCTGAGGCCGGGGCTCTGCCGGAGCGAGGGAGGCGGGCAATGACAGGCAGAGGTCAGCGC